CCCCAAAACCCCAAAACCCCTTATTAGTGAAATAGTAATATAATTGAAATTAATAATTATAATACATAAATGTTTATATATCGTTCCAAGGCTTAATATTTAACAGCATCTTTACTTTTATTGGAATTAATTTCTCTTGCTTTTGCAAATATAAGGAATCAAAATGATATTTTTGAGCAATTAACCTTCATTGAAAAAGAGACCAATCATCATAGCAAATTGAGATAAAGTATGTATAATGAGTAAGAGAAAGATTCAAGTTTAATGTCAATTTCGATAGCAACTGGTAAAAATAATACCGAAAATGTTAGTCTTCATCCAGTTAAGGAAAAAGAAGATATCTTTAATCTAAACTCAAAGAAATAAAACTTAGAAATTCTAGGCAGAAATCTAGCATATAGACCTGGAATTAAGTCTGATTTGATTCGAAGTAACTTGGAAAAGGTATAAGAGCCAAAATAAGGAATTAGCTCTTAAATCTAAAACAAAGATGTCGTAGATAAATCGGCAACAGACAATTCAAAAAGCAATATGAAAATATTATCTAATGAATAAGAAATAGATGATGATAAGATTTACATTCATATTGTAACACATTCGCACAATGATGTAGGTTGGGTTCAAACTCCTAGTTCATACTATTCCTCTTCAGTCAAAACTATCATTACATCTGTGATAGAAGCACTTTTAAAGAATAAAAGCAGAAAGTTTTCGCAGGCTGAAATATATTACTTTCAGAGATGGTGGGAAGAATAAACAGATGATATTAAATAATAAGTCTAGTTATTAGTCAAAGAAGGGAGACTTGAGTTTGTTAATGGTGGCATAAGTTCTTAAGATGAAGCATGTACCAGTTTTGAGGAGGCTATTATAAACATGATGGTAGGCCACTAATTCCTATAAAATACTTTTAACTATACAGTAAAATCAGCCTGGCACTTGGATCAATTTGGTCATTCCTCAGAAACAGTTGACCTTATGATTTAAATGGGATTTGAAGCAATATTTATGGCTAGAATAAATGATGATGAGAAAACACAAAGAAAAATGAGCCAAGAGTTAGAATTTATTTGGTAGCCCACTTACATAGACACCAAAGGAGAATTAAAGTATTCATAGAACAGGATTTTCACTCATGTAACTCACGAGTAATACTATGCCCCTTGCAACTTGGAATTAGACGAAAAGTCAACATCATTTGATAGAGAACTGCAGATGACCTATCATAGTAAAAAGATTAGTTAGGTAAGAAAAAATCCTAATTTCTACATCACATGCATCAAGGAATATGCATCACATTTCAAAACTAATTAGATTTTATTCCCATTTGGAAATGACTTCTCCCATTTTCATGCAGATCTAAATTACCAATTTCTAGAGGACTATATTAGACTTATTGATCAAAATTAGGTTGAAAAGAAGATTATATTTAAATATTCTACAACTACTGAATATCTCGAGGCAATTAGCTAGCAAAAGTCTTTGAGGGGTTTTGATTGGCCTGAGTACCATGATGACTTTTTTCCTTTAAATATGAATTTTCCTGGTCATTATTGGTCAGGGTTCTACACTAGCAGACCTAATTTTAAGAGCTATGTAAGAGAATTTACAGGATTAACTTAACAAGTATCATCAATGTTCTCATTTGACATCATGAAAACCTAGAATATAACATCAAATGATGATCTATTATCTGGCTACCAGAGAGATGATATAAGTCTGGGTCAAATTAAAGAAGATCTGATAAATATGTTTGAGAAGGTAGGTGAACTAGCCCATCATGATACAATCACAGGAACATCTCCAAATTAAATCATTTAAAATCAAGCATTTGAGGTAAGGAAATTGCTAGAGAAAAATGAAGAATTAATAGTCAAGAAAATGAAACAAAAATGTTTTGAGCAGGGATTGATGATAGAAAAGGCAAAGTAATATCTTAAGGGTATTGATGATAGAAGGGCCAACCCTGTTCAATCCTAAGGCTAAGTATACTATATCGTGTACAATCCCAATATATTCACTTTGAATTCGATCAAATTTCTGCTAGCTAATCAATATCAAACAGTAGAAGAATGGGATGATATAATCGGAAATTTTAAGCCAATCAATATTCTTGATAATTTTTGCTCTAAAAGTGTAGATGAAGTAAATGAGTGTGACATCAACCTTAAGACTAACATATAACCTTACTAAGTCAAGATTTACATGGTTACATTCCCTCAAGTACTTAGAGAGTAGCAAATAATACCATTTGGTTTTTCCAATATTCAAGACTCAAAACCGTATAGTTATAAGACCTTTGTTATCACTTACGTCTTAACTTTTCTTGATGATTCCTATGTAGGCACGGAGTTATATTCAAATTTGACTCTTGAAGAATACTAATAAGAGTTTGGAACTGATAACTTATTTAGATAGCTTGAAATTTCAACTTAGTAAACAACTATACCAACTCGCCCACCCATAAGAAAGCCTAAAATTCCAAAACCAACTGATCCAATTACCTATCCTCCAAGAAAAAGAGTTGATTATAAATAATACAGACCTAATTTAAGAGATATTAGGTATTCGGATAAAGATTTTGAAGATGATTATCTTGATGAAAGCTTTAGAAAATAGCCAATGTATTCTAGTATATATTCTAGTCAAAAGGAAATAGTTCAGTATGAAATAGAACTCAACTACAGCTTGTATTGCAATCAAACTCTAAATATTCACACGAATATTTAATCTTTATTTGTTGTTAGTTGTACTGTTAACAGTGTTACCTTTAAATTGTTGAGAAATGGTTCAAGTGACTAGTATTTTGTTTTCGATTTTAGATACTACTAATCATACTCAGAATCAGTGTATCAAAAGAGTGGGTTGTATGTTTTTAAGACATCTGATAACGACTCTAGACCATATGAGCACAAGATTAATACAATTTAAGTGTTCCAAGGAAAATACTCTTCCATGATAACGATTAATTATCGAAATTCGAATAATAAAAAGGACTCATAGGTAAAGTTAGTTATGAGAGATGATGAAACTTAAATTGAATTTGATGTGTTTTTCTCATAATTTGACATTGACAGATTCGGTAAAGGTAAAGATGTAACTATCAATTGGCAGAGTCTGAATATAACTAATAATGGCACCTTTTATACAGATTCAAATGCACTAAGACTTGTCAAAAGAATTAAGAATAAACCATAGCCTTATCCTAATATCAATCATTTGAATGATTGGCAATAAGTTGCAGCAAATTTTTATCCTATAAATTCAGGGATTATGATTGATGATGCTAAGACTAAAAATCTAATGTTTGTAATGAACGATAGACCTTAGGGAGGTTCAGGATATCATGAAGGTAGAGTTGAATTGATGCTAATTAGAAAAGGTTCTACTAATGACGCTCTCGGTTTAGCAGAAGTAATGGATGATTAGATGAGACCTTATGTGGGTATTGATGTCAGAGCAATATTCTATTTAGATTTTTCTAGAGATAAAAAATAAGCAATAAAAGATATAATGAAGAGACATGTATTGAATATGAATAAACCCATATATTTTTCAAGTGAAAGAGTTGATATAATATCTAGGAATAGATCCTCTTAAAAAGAAGAGAGTACAATTGTTAAAAATTTAGATGTTTATTTAAATGAAATTGGAATTTTAGACATTTAACTGATTCCAAGCGGAGATTTCAATAACATTTATCTACGGACATTATAATTTACTAGTTAAAGTAATACCTAAAATATCTTGATTTCTGAATTGATGAATAAGCTTTGCGAAATCTAAAATGTAACTGATTGCTTTCATTATAAAATAGAAGAGGTTTATCTTCACGGTTAATAGAAGAAGGCTAATAAATTATTTGGTCTTGAAAATCAAATTTCACTTGAAAAACCTCGAAGAAATATAAATTTGGTTGAGTTCGATGGACAATCTGATTATTTCATAATCAATAATTACAAAGTTTAAAAAATAGACATGATAGAGGAAAACAATGGAAATTCATCTATATCATCTTAAATTTCGAAGGTATCATAAGTTACTAAGAAATTAGCTTAGCAAAGTTCTAAAGATGGAGATAGATCAATTCCTTAGCCTACTTCCAAACCTAACTGAAATTTAAATTAAAGACCCTCTATAAAAAGAAAATAGATTTATTGGATTTTTATAATGATTATTCGAAATATTTGTTGATTTTGAGCTTATGGGGTTTTGGGGTTTTGGGGTTTTGGGG